TATATCAATTTATAGTTGAACTAAATATGCCGTAATCATGGCTGCTTATATTGACTTCTGCGCATATTTTATGAACAAGGAATGATAATACCCGATATTCCTGCGTCACAGTCTATGCTCTCCCGGGGTCGAGTAGTTACAATTCACCTAACTCCGTTTGTCAATGCTTGGGATAAGAACTCACTTCGTTATTTTTTGATTCCTAATGCAAGGCTTTACTGTATAACCATGGTATTTTTCAAGTCAGAGCAGCTGAGAATGACGAATGACTTCTTTCCATCTTAGAACTATGTGTCTCTTTGTCGCCATTTCACCACTTGAGCGACTTTACGGGTGGCTTGCCAGGATCACATGCTGACTAAGACTGTGTATTTTGGACTGCTGTATCATTTTCCCTATGGAATATAGTCAAATCCCCGGTTAATTTTCCTCTTTTGATAAATGCTTAAGTTTAGCAATCAGTATTCGTTGCGTTTTAGACAATCTACTGGAGTGTAAACATAAGATGCTAAGATCATGCTTTTGTGCTATCCGTTATTCGAGCTCTCGCAACAAGCATGCGCACATAATTGCTATGATTTTACAATGTCTTGCATTTCTTTTAGGTCGTTGTTAATCCCAACCGCCACGCCGTTTCGTTTACCTTCAATCGAACCAATACGGTTGTAGTGGAATATGTCCCTGATCCAAATACTGACCTCTTTCAGGTAGTTCCTTATTTCAAGTATTTACCGCTGACTTGGGTACATTTTAAAGGGGTTATTTTTAGATCAACTTTCAAGTTGTCTAGATCGTATGATACTATTTTAACCTTGGCTTCCTTGGAAAACTCAATGGGGGTGTATTTGTTTGAAACTGTCGTCCCCTCGATGGAAACGATGGGTTACGGTGGGTTTGCACACTCGAAAGTAGTTTTGTGAATTTGCCTCCCAGTATCTTACGTTGCGATTGCAAAACAATTTTATGTGGGAACTGAAAAAGATGTGTGCTCTTATCAATGCCTGTTTTAGCGACCTCGTATCCCCATCCACCTTCGCTGGTCTCCACGACCCACTGAAATGTTTGCTGGTAGATAGTGGCCATTGTTTCTCGCCTTTCAGATCGGTCGATATAAGTCTCCAATCATCGATTTCCATATCGGGGATGTGGCCTCTCCAACGGAAGATAGATCCACCAATAGAAGTAGCCCGTTCTTGTACAGAGGTCGTGGGAGATTCTTCCTCGGTATGTTCGACAGACCCTCCTTTTCACCCAAGAAACCGATGGGCGCCCTCTCCACAGTCTCTCGCTTCGCCTGTCGTATCGACATCGACCGAAGGCCGCCACACAAGGCTCGCATCTACGCAGCCGGCTTTGATATGCGTAATAACATTTTCCTTGGTGTAGGTCCAGACTAGATATTCCTCATATTATTATTAGTTTCATGTTCGCAACCAACTCTTCATTTCATCCCTTTAAACCTATCTCTTCGAAGCTGAGTGTGCTGTGTAATGCCAATATTTAATCACCTCACAAGTACCTACGTCTGCGTGTATGTATACCGCAGGGGCACTGTCATAAATCTTAGTTGTAATTAAACACTGCATCCAAAGTTTTCGAGGTTTTAGAATCATTTCACTTATTCTTAGAATTGTAATGTGGGAATGTGTCGGCAAGCATGGTCCCTCTCCATTTTTAATGTTATTGCTCCCGACCAACATAGCAACTTTTATGGGGCTTTGTCTTCCCTTTTTGTTCTAGCAAGTTTTCCTCATTGAGTAGGAAAGGTACGTATTTATCTAGGGAATTGTGTGCGGTATACAAGTTTTTTTAAACTTTTATCTTCCAATTGTCAAACGACAAACTACAATGCGACTTACTATCCTTTTTTGCTATGTAGGAAAACGCCTGCAAATGGCGGCACAGTGATATTATGGACGGGTTTACTACAAATGGAGTTCGGATATTGAGACCAAGTCAGTGGCTAAAAAGAGGCGAAACAGGTGATGCTTTACTTTATTTGATGCCAAATTTCGGTGTTAAATTTATTTTATAGATTATTTACTCTAATGGCATCTGTCAGAGGCGCAAACCATTTTACTGAAGATGTTCCATTGGTTTCATTCCCCTACCTATTTTTAGCAATTGTTGCGTTCACTTTGACTTGCATTCAGTGTGCTTCAGTTATTAGTCGATTTCATTAGTAGACCGTAGTCGTCAGCTTCATCTCATCATTTCCTAGTTTTGCCATTTGTTTTCGTTAATCAGGGCACTTTTCCTTTTGTTTTAGATGAAGAACAATCGTAAGTCAAATAGCATTTTTCCCAATTGTATCGTTTTCACTCAGTTTTAAATACAATTTGTCTTTTAAGAGGGGAACCCATTTTGAAAAATGCACCGACTTGGATACTTCAATTCTACACAGGCGAACCTTTAGTCCCTCAGTATTGCAGTACCTTTGCTGATTTTGGCTAAAATGTTAATAACGAGAAAAGGTTAATTTTATGAGTTCCAAGTGTCTTGAAACGGCTGCATAAACTGTCAGGGGGTAATATCACTTACAGCCGCAACTTCTGTTCCCTATTACCCTATGCGCCATTCTCTTAGGTAATAATATCTTTTGACAAATGAATTTCCCGAGCTTCAGCATTCTTGTTTTACACAATATACTACCGCATTCGGGAAACCGTTTTTAAGGTTAAATATGAAATGCAAGTAAACACACGACACCTTTTTTACTCCTCATTACACCTGTTTATGACAAAATAAGCCTGGCCTAGACGGAGGTCATTGTCTAGCAATAAGCCTTACCGACAACGAATTCGTTTTGTACGACCACGTTACTGTTTGTTAAATTTAGTTTGGTGCTGGGAATTATTAGTAGGAGATTATGAACACTGAAAATCGCTGTTTTACCTCATTAGATGCACTCTTTTACAGTTCCCTCTGGCGCGAGGTCAGTGTATGCGGAAATGTTTACAAACTGCATTCCACCATGTTTGTACCTGGAGAAACTGATCGGGTATGATTCTGTTTTCTACTTTTTTCGGATTGAAATTCCCGCTATTGTATTACTCCACAAATTCTCTTAATTTAAAATTTCGTGGTAGGCGGATAGTTAACCTTTCTTCCATTGGCGTTGTATCACTGTAGGTCAAGGACGAAGACAACGTGCTCGAGGACGGGACTCTCATTGACCTTTGTGGCGCCATTCTCATTTGGCGGTCAGCAGATGGTCTGAAAAACGGACTAACTCTCACCGACATCAGTGAAATGGTATGGTAGAGAACATAGGATCTCTAGTTCTTGCAGTAAAGCTGTTGCTGTGGTTAATGTTACTTTTCCTAAATGCAATCATTGGTCATTTTCAAGCCTCGCATAAAACTTTGGTCGTTTGACTAATGCAGTTTTGCCTTCGTGTTGAGTCACTCGGAAATTCAACACGTGTACGCTGTGACCGAATTGTTATTCAGCATAAAGGCATTATCAGTATTTGGAGTTCATTGGGCCACTTAAAGCGCTTCAAATTTCCTCTGAACAAGTTTTCTTTTGTTCTAGGTGAATATCCTCAATCAGCTCCATATCCAGTGCCCGGTTTACTTAAAAACTCTCCACTTCAAGGGTTTTGGCACACCCCGAGTTCCCTCTAAACACTTTTATCACGCAATGTCTGGCCAAGATTTTCCCAGCTCCTCTATCAGTGCCACCTTCGGTGGTGGGAGTCAGCCTCACGTATATTTGAATTGCGGTCATGTACACGGCTACCACGACTGGCAACCCAACGATCGACAGTAAGTTGTTTCCTTTTCCCGTTTGCTTGGGTAGAATTCATGCCAGCCATTGGACTGTGACAGGTCAGCCGCTTTATAATAGCAGCACAATTGTGAACTCGAGGCAGAATTGCTCGAATGCAGGTATCTAGTCAATTCTACTTAGCATTTGTTTCATTTAACCCCTTTGACTGTTGTTCTTAGAGCTTGATAATTTCTTTTCGGCATTTAAAAGGTGGGTACGTTATCCGCTTTCACGCTTTTGATTGTGTTTGCTCCAAACAATGCCAACCGACTGCGCTGTCTGCCCAAGGCACAGTTGCTCAATTACGTTGATGTTGAGAGAAATTATGTTTGTATATTGAACTCTTTCATTCAAGTGGAACAAATCATTACTCCCACTGAATTCAGGTTTTTGAACATTGATTGGGTCTGATCAAACATACTCTTCTCATCAGCATTCACTCTGTGGAAAAGTCTACATCAGTGCCTAATTTTGGCTCCCTAAGGTGTTTTGGCCAGTGGCGGCAACTCTTTCAACGGTGATCCGGAAGCTTCTTAGTATTGGCAGAGTCTGGGACACAGAAGAGTTGTGGGTCTAATTTTATTTGGGTAATGGGTATTGTCGCGATCGGTTATTAATTTTTATTTCTCATCAACATATCCAGGTATGTCATTGATAATAAATTAAATCTTAACTCTGTTGTGCATAGTTTTCTTTTCCGGTCCCCAGTACCGAAGGTGGACGCTGCACTTTAAATTTCAATCTGATTGAAGTTTTTGTTGACTGTTGGCAATTGATGCTATGAAAATATTCCAAAGCTACGCCTGTTTTCTCCTTGTGGCAGCTTGATGAGCGTCTGCTTTTCTCGTGTTGTAGGTCTTCATCGGAGCGGGACAAGCGGACGTGTCCTCTGTGTCGGCAAACGTCGCAGTTCGTTCGTATATCCATTGGCGAGGAGGTTGGCTTTTTCGTAGATCGTGGCGCTCCCTCGCACTGCTTCAATCCCTGCGGTCACATCGCCTCTGAAGCGACCGTCAGGTGGGCTCCAGTGGCTTAATGAATACGCTTCTGTAAAAACTAATTAATGGAGTGGGAGTCATTTTTTCTTCAAGTGTGACCTTTTGAACGTCATTTACTTATTTTTTTGTCTTAAAAGCATAAGTCTGTGTCAGTAGATTCTCTTCATTTTACAGTTAAACGCTGTGTTTGTGCAGGTAGTACACCGGCATGGTGACTGATATTGACGTTGTCTATTTACCTGAGTAGATCAGATTGGATAACACGAAATTTCCCATGTCACTAGGGCAAGACGCTCAAACGGTATCCATTTGCTGTCCCCTAAGCTAATCGACGAGCGGTTTTATCACCTAACGACACGGCAAGCCGGTTGTTGCATTCCCTGGCTATTTTTGGCTTTTTGTTGAGCTGCTATTTCAGTCAGATGGGCAGATAATTGTTACTTCACTGGTGGATTTCCTGTTTTTTTAAATTAAGATTTGGATTTCGGCAACTCCTCTTTAGCTTCCTAAGTACGTCGTCAGCCATTCGGTTATCACCGCTGCGTTGTACAACCATCGCAGCACATTGCCTCAATAGGTGTTTGTTATCAAATTCTCTACTAAACGGTAACATGTCAAGTAAATCGAACTAAGTAATTCACTCGCTGACAGTCATTTCTTTTGTTGAATGTAGAGCAGTATCGGTACTTTAGGTTTTTCGGTCTCATTATTAACGTTTTTTTGTTTTAGTGCAAATTGTCTTGCCTAAAATTTTTAAATTTTCTCTTCATCTTCATTCATTTGACGCTCTTGTGGGTTTAAAATGGGTAGATGCTTTCTCCATATCGAAGCGGTAAACGAATTGGGAATTGTTGTTTAATGCAAGACTCAGAGATGTGAACATGTGGAGTTTGAATAGACAGATTCCAACATGCAACATTCGGTGTTCATAGTTGTATGAGTGTATTGCTAATTTCGATCCCCTATTTCTCAGGTTTTGGTCGACGTTGAAGTTGCCTGTTACTAGTCAGACACCAATGGTACCGAAATGTCCCTTCTGCTTTCACGTGGTTGAGGGGCCGCCTGTGCGATTGATCTTCCAGCACCGTGCTGACGAGAGCACCCTGAAAGAAGCCTTTGAGGCCTTCAACTGCACGCCTCTCGATTCGCCTCATCGTGCTACCCCTTTCGTCTTCAATTCGGCGAGTCCTCCCACCACGCCTACTGTCCCCACTCTCGTTGACTCAGATATCGACTGATATCGAGCAGTTTCACCGTTTAATTCCTGTCCCGTCTCACACACCAGGGTGTCTTTCTGTACCACCTCTTCCGCCCTTTCACTGCTATCATGGGTCTTTACTTTCTCCCATTATTACTTTCTGTTAATGATGTCGTGTTCTGTTGGCAAACTTTCTCTCTTTAAGCTATGCAGGGGCGCACACAGGAGTTTGTGTATTCGAAGCATTTTATCCCTCGCTCACTACGATCGCAGCATAATACACGTTATTTCCAATTACTGCTAACAATTTGGAAGGAACGTTTTGTCCTTGAGGTGCGTTATTTACTGGTACAAACTTTGAGATTTGACTTCCAAAGTGGAAAGTTGGGTGGATTCTACTTGTTGCATCAGTACCTCTTCGGCGGCATTTTACATGGTAAAGTAGTGATTTGCGGCTGGCAAGCAAGTGGGTGTGCATAAATTAAGTCCTCGAAGACTCCTCTGAAGACATGTTGAAGCAATTCGATGCCAATGAGGATAACTATGAGGCGACAATTCATCAAGATTCATCCAATCACGTTACTTTAGTCAAAACGGCTATGCCATTAAATATTAGCACGTCTAGGTATCTGAGTCAGGAATGCTGGTCTACGAATACGAGAAGAGCCTCTGAAATACCAAATATATTGGCCATCCGTAAAAGCGATATTCACTTCAGTAAACACTTTACTCTTGACTATGCAGTCTTCTCTGCGGTTCCCATTTCTCCAGCTTCATGAAGTCCCGATTGTAATACGTTGTTTATGCGACAAACCGATGTTTCGTGGCTACTTGGTATTCGTCTTTGTAGCGTCCCGAGACTTCCTGGCCGGTACAAGAAGTCAGTAAGTGCAGTTGGATGCATGTACTTTGAATACGACAGGACAAACGGACCCGGGCATGACCCGAAGTCCAGCCCACGTGTACAAGAGCCAGACAAATCCTAAAGTGACCGCCACACGTCATGCGGTCACATAAACAAGGTATTGAAATCTTGTCTTTGTATACGCGGACCGGTCTTTGGACCAAGGCTAGGCGTATAATCCTTCGTCTCCTCCTAGAATATATGTATGCAACCTAACTTACTGTCTTCTACTTGATGGGATGCTGCAGCTACAAGCTATAAATTGAATTGGTTAAAAATGTATTGCAAACAAAATTCTAGCCGCAACAAAACTGACATTTTACTTAGTAAGCACATTTTTAAGAGGCGTAAATAAAACTAAATCATATGCATAGAATTAATCCTGTTCATGGGTCTAAAAGTTCGATTCGACACAATTAGCCTTTTTTATGTGTTTTACTTACAATGAATTTTAGTGAATATATCTGTTGATGTTTTCGCCTTCTGTTTTTTGGGCGCGTCGAATAAGTTATGTGTCTCTTTCTCAAGCGGTGCGGTTTCGCTACTCTCTTGGTAGAGGCGGATAAGGTGGTGAATAAGCTTGTAAACGTTGCGTTTCCACCTGAAATTTCTAGCAGATCTTCCAGATGGCAGGAAGCGAAGCATGCTGCTGTAAAGCTTTATACCTCACCTCGTGTCGATCGTGTCAAGATGTTATACACTGGTCTTCCCAAACCGGAAACTGAATTGAGTATGGCAAAAGGCATATCAACACCTTTTGATTGCGCTAAACACCTCTCGCAAATGCTCTGCGATAGAAGTGTTATAGCTCTGGTAAATGGTTCTCCGTATGATATGCATAGGCCAATTGTTGCTGATGGGACGCTTGACTTCGTTCATTTTAAGGTAAGTGCGTATTTTGGATCCGCACTTCGTTTTCCCTTATATGAATATCGCTTCCTCTCCGTGAACGTTGCGCCTAATCGTTACTGCTACAGTATCTATACTCCTTGTGTTATCGTATTAGGATCGCATCATT